ATGAACATGAACAGATTTTTTATTTTTTTGAATGGCAGTACCTTTCAAACATGTCTGCTTGCAGTAAGGTAGCACTCACAAGGTGGCCAGAGAAAGAGAACCTTTCTTTGGTGTGATCCAGGATGGTGTTGCAGACCTCTTCAGACAGCCTCTGCTTCTCCTCTTCTCTCAAAGCTGTTCTGGGTCTTTTGGCTCCTGTTGCTTCTTGCAGCTGCTGTTGAGAGGAGTCCCTGAAGGCAAACAGACCAATGTGTTTGTTGGCTTTGTACAGTATTGTTGTCTATGTGATGCACAGGTAAATGCAATGTATCCATGTATAGTACAAATACTTCAGTTCCACTTAAAATGGGCAGGGATGCATAAAGTCTTTAGTGTTTAAGTTAGCCTTTGTGTCTCACATAGCCTGGATGTTCAGCACAGTATACAGTGGTGCTCATAAGCTTATGATCCCATGCTAAAGTTGACTAAAAAGAGGAATAAAAAAGAAAAGAAAATTGGTGTCCTTAAAGGTTGAATTTTCCAACTTTTTTAATTAAGTCATTAAGATCAATTTCCAAAAGATGATTTTTTTATTTTTTTATTCCTCTTTTTAGTCAGCTTTAGAATGTGTTCATACACTTATGAGCACCACTGTACAGTACACATAGTATATAAAATAAGATAGATTACACCACTGGCCATATATAATGACAATAATGTAATTTCAAACACAAATGCAGTCTCCTTTCATGCATACATTTTCAAATAAAGCTCTGCTTTGAGAAAGATCGAATGATATTGTTTAATCTTTATCTTACCTTATGGCCTGCACACTGCTTGCGAAGCTGTCGAGGGCACGTTTGATAAAGACAGCATCGATGTCCTTATTCTGTAGCTTCTGGTACGGTGGGCTGGTCAAATGAACCCAATGAACCCGTCCGGATGGCTTCAAAACATTCTATGAGGTCGTCTCGATTCTCGTAGACAGTGTTCACGACTCTGCTGTTGCTAACCTCATCGTTGTGGCGGCGGACAGCTAGCCTGTATCCCTCATCCAGTTGAGTGGCAATATTCACTCTCACCAAAGCAGACAATCTCAAACAGCTATCAATGTGGGTCTTTGACAGCTCATTTTTCTTAATCTTTTCTGAAAGATGGTGCATGTCGGTTACACCAGTCGCTGTCCAAGCGTTGCTGTCTGCCGTTCATGGTTACGTTACGTTACGTATGACGAAAGCGCGTAAGTGCAAGCCCTCAGACACCCATAGAGAATGTATTGAAAGCTCAGAAATTTGAAAAAAAAATATTTTACATTAGAGGCTATGAGAGACTTCTGGGCGATTTTCAACCTGACTGAAATCGCCCCAAAACGGGCGGGGACATTTGAAGCACGACTTTAGCCTGATTGGACATTTAGTGGCTGGCAGATCAGACGTGAACACTGAACTACTGTTGCCATGATATAATTGATTAGAAAAAAAATCCCTTCCTTTTCCCGTTTGGCAGTGCGTCGCCCATATCGCCCTATTGAACACACCGCCCATGCCCGTTGCTATGAAGCCCCTAAATAAGATCTGGTGCAACTAATTACCTTCTGAAGTCACATAATTAGTTAAATAAGTCCACCTGTTTGCAATCTAAGTGTCACATGATCTGTCACATGATCTCAGTATATATACACCTGTTCTGAAAGGCCCCAGAGTCTGCAACACCACTAAGCAAGGGGCACCACCAAGCAAGCGGCACCATGAAGACCAAGGAGCTCTCCAAACAGGTCAGGGACAAAGTTGTGGAGAAGTACAGATCAGGGTTGGGTTATAAAAAAAGATCAGAAACTTTGAACATCCCACAGAGCACCATTAAATCCATTATTCAAAAATTGAAAGAATATGGCACCACAACAAACCTGCCAAGAGAGGGCCCACCAAAACTCACGGACCAGGCAAGGAGGGCATTAATCAGAGAGGCAACAAAGAGACCAAAGATAACCCTGAAGGAGCTGCAAAGCTCCACAGCAGAGATTGGAGTATCTGTCCATTGGACCACTTTAAGCCGTACACTCCACAGAGCTGGGCTTTACGGAAGAGTGGCCAGAAAAAAGCCATTGCTTAACTAAAAAAATAAGCAAACACGTTTGGTGTTCGCCAAAAGGCATGTGGGAGACTCCCCAAACATATGGAAGAAGGTACTCTGGTCAGATGAGACTGAAATTGAGCTTTGTGGCCATCAAGGAAAGCGCTATGTCTGGCGCAAACCCAACACCTCTCATCACCCCGAGAACACCATCCCCACAGTGGAGTATGGTGGTGGCAGCATCATGCTGTGGGGATGTTTTTCATCGACAGGGACTGGGAAACTGGTCAGAATTGAAGGAATGATGGATGGTGCTAAATACAGGGACATTCTTGAGGGAAACCTGTTTCAGTCTTCCAGAGATTTGAGACTGGGATGGATGTTCACCTTCCAGCAGGACAATGACCCTAAGCATACTACTAAAGCAACACTCGAGTGGTTTAAGAGGAAACATTTAAATGTCTTGGAATGGCCTAGTCAAAGCCCAGACCTCAATCCAATTGAGAATCTGTGGTATAACTTAAAGATTGCTGTACACCAGCGGAACCCATCCAACTTGAAGGAGCTGGAGCAGTTTTGCCTTGAAGAATGGGCAAAAATCCCAGTGGCTAGATGTGCCAAGCTTATAGAGACATACCCCAAGAGACTTGCAGCTGTAATTGCTGCAAAAGGTGGCTCTACAAAGTATTGACTTTGGTGGGGGTGAATAGTTATGCACGCTCAAGTTTTCAGTTTTTTTGTCTTTCTGTTATTTTGCATCTTCAAAGTGGCAAATTGTGTAAATCAAAGGATACACACCCCGCAAAAAAATCTATTTTAATTCCAGGTTGTAAGGCAACAAAATAGGAAGAATGCCAAGGGGGGTGAATACTTTCGCAAGCCACTGTACATAGTCATTGAACACTGGTCACTTTAATAATGTTTACATACTGTTTTACCCACTTCATATGTATATACTGTATTCGGGTCATGGCTCATCCTATATAACTACTGCTGGGGGGGGATTTGTGTGTATTATTAGGTATTACTGCAATGTTGGAGCTAGAAACATAAGCATTGGGCTGCACCTGCGATAACATCTGCAAAATATGTGTACGTGACCAAAAATGTGATTTGAATACCAGTGTTCATGGATCTAACGGTCTAATTATTTAACCCATTTACTTTTTTTTATTGTTACTCTCCTTTCTGCAAACTCCTTTCAGCCTATCCCTCCCTCTCGTGCTCGCCTGTGAGAGAGAGAAAGGGAGAGAGAGGGAGAGAGAGAGGGAGAGAGAGAGGAAGAGAGAGAGGAAGAGAGAGAGAGGGAGAGAGAGAGAGAGAGAGGGGGAGAGAGGGAGAGAGAGAGGAAGAGAGAGAGGAAGAGAGGGAGAGAGAGAGGGAGAGAATGTGTGTGCGTGCATGAGTGTGCGTGGGTGTGATTCTTTGTGCCGGTGCCACAGGTTAGGTACAGGTCGTTCCTCAACTGTAAAGCCATGCCAACTGGGGTGTCTGCAGTCCAGAGCTACAGGCAAGACCACATGGGGATGGTAGATCAGAATGTACCTTTGGCCAAGATACTTCACCATAAGTTAACCCTTTACCTCCTCATAAAGAACTCTGTTTTGTGAGACAAAAAAAACATGTACTGTCTAGACAAAAAAGTTTAATACAAACTAGATTAAATTGCAGAGGGGGAATAATCCTGCTACATAGAATTGTTGTCCACAGTTTTATCAATTATATGCAACAGATGCTGGAAATGCATTATTTAAAAAAACATCCCACAGATTCTGTTTGTCACTACTCATTGAGTTGACAGGCATGAACTACTTCCAGGACAGGGCCTGGTTGTGGTCCTCTGTGACTGAAGAGGGCTCACCCTGGCTTGGATAAGATATAAGCCCGATGCGTGTGACAAAGCATACAATGTGAAGGTCAACTGAGCCAGCAATGCTTGGGAATTGAGTATCACTGTTATGAACTTTGAATTCCACGCTCTTGGGTTGGATCAGAGAAGTGACCAACAGCAGGGGAAAGCAGATGACATGATATATGGACTGTGATGACAGGACAAAAGGAGACTTGTTTTACATGTACAGTACCTCATCTTGACTTCTTGCCTCTGTCTTTTTTCCACCTCTCACATATTATCTCTTCCCCATCTCCTGCGTTTATTTTCTTATCCATTTCATTCCTTTCTTCTTACCCTCACACTCCCTCTGTATTCCTCCTCTTCTCTCTCTCTTCCACCCTAGTCCCTATCACAAGCTATTGAGAATTAATGTATACTAATGTAAAAACAATTACAATCGATATTTACAATAAATACTAAATCAATCTCTATTGTGAATCAATGGATAGTGAGCTGTGTCTCATGTGTTTCACCATAAACATAGTGACCTTGCTGTTATCTGGTGCGTATGGACTGGGTCATAGACCAGGGTTACCCAAACTGGGTCCTGGACCACCCCTGTGTCATAAACCATATTGTGTAAGCTAACATACAGATGTAGGAACTTAATTTGATCACTCTTTTGTTGCTGAGAATTGTCCTGTGTCGCAGGAAATGCAGATGAGCTTTGTGATTTACATAGATTCACTGAAAACCCGCACTAACACACGGTTATATTAACAGTATTGCACTTTTCATGTAACCTACTTTTTTGTCCAGCTAATAGTCTAACCACCGCTCAAGTTACATTATAGATTAAACGTTCAAATCCTGTTGCTGGAGGATTATTTTGCTACGACAATGCTGGTCAAATTAAGATCCTATATCTGTACATGGCCCCACATGGCCTTGGCAAGGATAATAATAATAATAGGTAACACAAATGCTAGGAGTCAGGATTGGATATGTAGTTATTATTGCAACAGGGAAGTAAAACATGCAGACTCCCTTTGAACATGAGTATTCAGGCTTTATTGAATTATCAACCCCCCACTGTGATTAGCACATGAGCCGTTCACATTTTAGCCCTGGGGGGGGCGACTTTGAGCGAGTTCAAAAATGTCTCTAACGTCAAGAGGTACTCCTCCGGGTGACAGCGTAGATGAGCGGCGTGCACAGACTCCTTCCACTTCCTGGTTTCCACAGCAATGCCCCGCTTCCTCCAGAAGTAGATGGCCGCCTCCATGGCGACGGGGTCACACAGCACGTTCGTTCTCGCAGAAGAAGAAGCGCCGGGGCGGTGACGGGGCTGTTGTAGAAGACCTGACTGTCGGGGGGGTTGGTCCCGTCCCTAACTTGGGCTTAAGACCAGGTTTGCCCTCCGCCCCCGGAGGAATTTGCGATTTGGCCACTGAACAAATTTTTGGGGTTCGGTTATAAACTTGAAATGGATCCCCCTTGTTTCCCCAACACAAAATTTTTAAACGGCGTTCCCCGGAATTTGAAAATTGAAAAAGGGTGGGAAAAGGGTGGAATGGTAGGTGTACAACCCCTGTGAAAGGGATGAGGGGTTTTCGGGTAAACCCCAAAACCACCCCCAAAAGAAATCCCCTAAAAAAAAAAAAAAGCCAGTAATCTTGTTCTGGAAATTTTTAAAACCCCCACCTTTTTTCCTCTTTATATTTTCTTTGTCCCGGGGGAAAATTTTTTTAAAAATGTTTGGGGCCCCCGGGGGGAAAACCCCCCTTAGGGGGGGTTTTGGGGGGGTTTTTTTAAGGGGGGAAAAAACCCTTTTTGGAAAAAGGGGGAAAACCCCCAAAAAAAAGGGGGGGGAAAACGGTTGCCAAGCCCCACGGCCCAAATGAAGGCCCAAAAAAAAAAACCCCAAACCCAAACGTTTTGGGGGGGGGGCGGGACCCCTTGGGGCCCCCCCCCTTATCGTTTCCCGGGGCCGTCGGGGAAATTTCCTTCCCCTTTTCAACCTCCCAAACTTTTTGTTTCTGGGTTTTTTTTCTTGTTTTTTTTTGGACCCCTGTTTTTCCCCCCTTCCTAACTAGCTTGTAAAAACCCCCCGAAACCCCCCTTTTTGCCCCAAAAACTTTGTGGGGTGGTTTTTAAAATTTTTCTCCCCCCGCCCCTTGTAAAACCCGGCTGCCTTTTCTTGAAACCCCCTCCCCCCCAAAAAACCCCCCCCCGACCCCTCCCCTAAAAAAACCCCCCCAAAAAACCCCCCCGTTTTTCCCTTCTTTTTCGATTTTTCCCCAAACCGAACCCTATCTTTTTTTATTTTCCTATTTGGAAAAACCCCCCCTTTTCCCTGCCTAAATGTTCAATGGGTGAAGGTGGTACCCGCCGATGGAGAAGGCATGGACCAGAAGGGGGCGCCCTTTGAAACGTGGGTCATCCAGAATCTCCAGGACCTCGGCCCCATACTCCAGCCCCCAGCGAGGCCACAGGAAGTGCCACACGGCGCTCTCCACAGATAGGATGTCCAGGCCGCGTTCCAGGTAGAGGTCCCGGTACTTCGCCATGGCCCCCCGGTTTGGCGCCAAGCCAAGGGAGGAGCAGGAGGAGGGGACGGGGGGAGGAGGAGGAGGGCGAGGATGGAGAGAGGGGTGGTACATCCGAAGCGGAAGGGGTTAGAGTTGAGGAAATGGTGGGGTGAGAGGGCGTGTCTGAGAGAAAGGGGGTGGAGAGGGAATATGAGGAAGAGGAGTGTCTAGATGGGAGGATAGGAGGGGGTTGGGGGAGATGGTGGGAGGAGAAGGGGGGGGGGTATCGCCCCCTGGTTTCCGGCTGGTGTAGTAGTAGGTGATGCTTCTGGTGACCCTCTGGGCTATGACCCGCCCCTCTCCCACTAGCGCAGACATGTCTGAGTGGGAGTTACTGGGGGGAGGAAAAAGGGCCAGAATTAGAGCAGGATTGGAAGATTAGTTACAGAGGGGAAAAATTGCCTGAGTGCCAGTCTGTGCCATCATGCCAACACTTTGTCACTCATTGTCATGTGTGGCTTGATGAGGACAGGAGTTGCCAAGGCCACAAACAGATCTGGGACCAGGCCAGGAAATATGAGCAAAACTAAAAAAACTAAAAATTAACTTGAGGCATAACCAATATACCTCAAGTGAAATGAATGTATACCACATACACAGTCTTATGCACAGACACACATGCAAGGTTGTGGGATCCAGCTTAGGGGGATCAGGCTGGCAGCTGACTCTCATTCAGTTAGAGAGCTAGATAGTAGGCCACCAAGTACTAAGTCATGTTTTGCAGAGGGGTCAAATACTTATTTCCCTCATTAAAATGCAAATCAATTTATAACATTTTTGACATGAGTTTTTCTGGATTTTTTTGTTGTTATTCTGTCTCTCACTGTTCAAATAAACCTACCATTAAAATTACAGTGGGGAAAAAAAGTATTTAGTCAGCCACCAATTGTGCAAGTTCTCCCACTTAAAAAGATGAGAGAGGCCTGTAATTTTCATCATAGGTACACGTCAACTATGACAGACAAATTGAGAATTTTTTTTCCAGAAAATCACATTGTAGGATTTTTTATTAATTTATTTGCAAATTATGGTGGAAAATAAGTATTTGGTCACCTACAAAACAAGCAAGATTTCTGGCTCTCACAGACCTGTAACTTTTTCTTTAAGAGGCTCCTCTGTCCTCCACTCGTTACCTGTATTAATGGCACCTGTTTGAACTTGTTATCAGTATAAAAGACACCTGTCCACAACCTCAAACAGTCACACTCTAAACTCCACTATGGCCAAGACCAAAGAGCTGTCAAAGGACACCAGAAACAAAATTGTAGACCTGCACCAGGCTGGGAAGACTGAATCTGCAATAGGTAAGCAGCTTGGTTTGAAGAAATCAACTGTGGGAGCAATTATTAGGAAATGGAAGACATACAAGACCACTGATAATCTCCCTCGATCTGGGGCTCCACGCAAGATCTCACCCCGTGGGGTCAAAATGATCACAAGAATGGTGAGCAAAAATCCCAGAACCACACGGGGGGACCTAGTGAATGACCTGCAGAGAGCTGGGACCAAAGTAACAAAGCCTACCATCAGTAACACACTACGCCGCCAGGGACTCAAATCCTGCAGTGACAGACGTGTCCCCCTGCTTAAGCCAGTACATGTCCAGGCCCATCTGAAGTTTGCTAAAATGCATTTGGATGATCCAGAAGAGGATTGGGAGAATGTCAGATGAAACCAAAATATAACTTTTTGGTAAAAACTCAACTCGTCGTGTTTGGAGGACAAAGAATGCTGAGTTGCATCCAAAGAACACCATACCTACTGTGAAGCATGGGGGTGGAAACATCATGCTTTGGAGCTGTTTTTCTGCAAACGGACCAGGATGACTGATCCGTGTAAAGGAAAGAATGAATGGGGCCATGTATCGTGAGATTTTGAGTGAAAACCTCCTTCCATCAGCAAGGGCATTGAAGATGAAACGTGGCTGGGTCTTTCAGCATGACAATGATCCCAAACACACCGCCCGGGCAACGAAGGAGTGGCTTCGTAAGAAGCATTTCAAGGTCCTGGAGTGGCCTAGCCAGTCTCCAGATCTCAACCCCATAGAAAATCTTTGGAGGGAGTTGAAAGTCTGTGTTGCCCAGCGACAGCCCCAAAACATCACTGCTCTAGAGGAGATCTGCATGGAGGAATGGGCCAAAATACCAGCAACAGTGTGTGAAAACCTTGTGAAGACTTACAGAAAACGTTTGACCTGTGTCATTGCCAACAAAGGGTATATAACAAAGTATTGAGAAACTTTTGTTATTGACCAAAT